GGGAAGGGGGCGGTAACTTTAAGATTCTAAGACTTTCCAGCCTCCTGGTTTCCTCTCTCTATCTGACCACTACCATCAAAATGCCACATGACTGGCTCCCAGTCCCTCCCTTTTCGTGCAGGTCGTCAAAGGATGTCTACAGCGAAGAGCAGAGAGGGAGCTCCCTCTGCCCGCTTCCTTCTCTCCTAGTTCAGGGCCCACCCCGTGAGACGGTGCGAGCACATTCAGGCCAGACCTTTCCAACTTAGTTAACAACCAAAAGTGTCCCTAACAGACGTGTCCACCGCCCAGCTTGATCTAGGCAATCCCTCAATGGAGAGGGATTTGTCCGGTGATTCTAGGTTTTGTCCCAGGAACATTTGAAACTATGATTATGTAGCATGGTGTTTTGTGGGACTCCTAAACAGCGGCAACGGGGACTGTGTCTGACTCTTTTGTCTGCTTTTGGAACCCTTTTCCTCATATTGGGTTGCTTTGTCCAGCCTTGATACAAAAGTATGTGCCCTGTTTTATTGTAACTTGTTATGCCAGGATTGGTTGGCATTCCTGGGAGGCCTGCTTTTTTCTGAAGGGAACCGAGGAAGAGTGGATCTGGAAGAAAGGGGAGTTGGGAGGGGAGACTGGGAGGAGAGGAGAGAGGGGAAACTGCTGTCCGGATGTAATATATGAGAGAAGAATAAATTTAAAAAACTCGGGTGCATGACATGTTTCATTGTATGTTAGTCTGGAACTTGATCATTATAAAATTGATACAACGACGTAGACGTATTTTTATACCATTTATGGGAGACCAAAGGAAGACAGAAATTTTGAGTAATTTACAAAAAACCTCACAGTTTCTAGGAGACAGAATGGGAAGTCGAAAATAAGCTGGTACATTCTTCCAGTATGGACAACCCTAAGTGAAAAACTGAAGAATTAATAAAAATTTCAATGCCTATCTTTCGGATCAAGCGTTGGGAATTATTAATGTTATGGCAACAACGTGTGATGGAGACAGAGGAGCCAAGTGTAGATGTCCCTGTCATGGACAGACCTGATCCTCTTGGGAACCTCAACCAACCTTTCCCAGTATTAGTGACTAACCAGCTCTTGCAGTATTGTTTCAGAGACTGCATTAGATCTGCTTCTGCCTTCTCGGCTGAGGAAGAATTAAGTAAAAGAATTAAGATAGTAAAGCACACACTTGCATGCGTATACACACACAGGTAGATGTAAACACACAAGTATGTGCACACACACACCATTATTGTTGGAGCCAACAAAAGAATGTGGTTACCTTCTCTTTGATAGAACTGGAAATGGATTATTGCAGACATCTGGCATTAAGCTTGGTGCGCAGCTGGGAATAGAGGAACATCTGGGATGTCTAAGGGTTAATCCATGCCCCAAACAGAAGGAGAACTACACAGAAACTACCCACTACACAGAGACTACCCACCGTACAGAGACTACCCACTGCACAGAGACTACCCACCGTACAGAGACTACCCACTGCACAGAGACTACCCACCGTGTAGAGTCTACCCACCGTACAGAGACGACCCACGTTCTACTTCCATCAGCACAGATCTGCAGCCTGGTCGAGTGAACAGCAGGAAGCAGCTGAAGACTGCAAAGACAAAGGATGGAGAGTCCCCTCTCAGTCTGAGCCAAGCATCAGGACAAGGGAAGAAGTGTTCTCTTCCAACAGCTCATGAGGACATCACACGTGTTTTAGAAGCGGAGGGACCCTCATTTTGCAGAGGAAGTCATGGAACTAAGAGAGCAGGGCTGAATTACTCCATTGCACAGCTTCGCTGTGTGTGTCTACCTGATAGCCGTGAACTCGTTTAATCCCATGCCGTTTGTCATGCTGCTTAGACTGTCTGGGTTCTAGTTTGGGAAACTAGGCTACTGAAGAGAAGTATTCGGCCACAGTTTCAGTGACTGTCGGTGTCTGCCTGGAAGCGCGGGCTGGACTGTAAAGCCCCTCCCTACATGAGACACTGATGTAAGAAACGATCCTGTCACCAAAGTGTAGCTCTCTGCCACACCCGGAGCTCTGAAAGAATGCGCAGGGCCATCGGCCTGGGTAGGGCACGAGAGGCCCTTTCATCGTTACTCAACTGAAGAAGGCAGGAAATGACACTGGAGAGAACCACAGAATTCTCACATAAAGAAATTGCTGGAGTGTGGGACTCTCACAATTCTGGTAACCAATGGTTATTCTGATCACGTTACCTTATAATATGAAAGTATCATGGGACCATTTTTACATTGGCTCTTAACTCCCCCACACAAAAACAACCAATAAATAGGTAAATGCGAAGATCTCCTAAATCTTCTAATTTCATGTTCACTTGTGTATAAATATTGAGGTTTTCTTTTTTAAAGTGGAACCACTCCACCACCAATTTTTTTAAATTATTTATTTATTATGTATACAACATTCTGTCTGTGTGTATGTCTGCAGCCAGAAGAGGGCACCAGACCTCTTTACAGATGGTTGTGAGCCACCATGTGGTTGCCAGGAATTGAACTCAGGACCTTTGGAAGAGCAGGCAATGCTCTTAACCACTGAGCCATCTCTCCAGCCCAAATATTGAGGTTTTTACTCACAGTTCAGGGCACACAATTTCTCAGGGATCTTAAGTACAGAAGTAAACACTGATAGGAATAAGGAGAGGATGGCTCAGATTTATTTTTGGAGTTGCAACAGTTTCTTCTGTGCAGTGGGGAGAGTTTAGCACCAAGTCTGGACCACACAAAACAGTGCCCCACCGCATGCAAAATCAGCACCATTTCCGCAGCTCAATGTCTCCACCTAGTGGTCGAAATAAAACTGACGCCTGAAAACTGAGACTCAAGACTGATTTGCAGTCCCCACCTCTAGTTCATCCACCTCTAGTCATAAACAGCCACCGTCAATAGCTGGGAAGGATTCAGAGGTGTGGCCTTATTGGAGTAAGTGTGACCGTGAAGCAGGTGTGTCGCTGGGGCTGGGTTTTGCGCTTTCAAAATCCCAGAAGAGATGACGGCCTCCTCTGTATCCGCTGCCTACAGATCAGGTTGGAAAATTCTCAGCTACTACTCCGGTGCCTCACCTGTTTGCTTCCCACTGTGATGAGTGCCCTGAAACTACTAAGCAAGCTCACAACTGAACGCTTTCTTCTCCTGTAAGAGTTGCTTTGTTCACCTATCTCTCACAGCAATAGAACAGCAACTAAGACAGTTCCCGTCCTGCTATTGGCTTTAGATATGACCTCTGTATTTACTCAAGGCCAAATAAAGAAATATTTTTCCCTCTGCTTTGCTCACTGTTGAGCTCAGCACACAGTAGGTTCTCAACATATATTTGTGGAAGGGATGAGTGATGAATGAATGACTAAACAAAAAATAACCATCATAAACAAGATTAAAGAAAAAATAAAGCAATGAAGAAAAAAAAACAAGATTGCAGTCCGAGAATTCATTTTAAGATATTTCTCTATTGCAATATAATTTCTATACAGTTAATCCCCCCTTGGCACCATTCTTTAAAGAGAGAGGAAGGCATAAACACACAGCCACTACAGTCAAGACCAAGATCAAAATACCCCCTAACATGAATTAGTGCCACCCGTATGTATTAGAGGTTGGTGGGGTGCTCCTGGTAGGTATTCCTGCTTTCTGCTCCTAGTCTTGCCTTGTCCGGAAAGTCACAAACCCATTACAGGTCTGGTTTCTTTCTGTCAGGTAATGCACTCAGAATTATTCTAATTGTTATGTAACCCAGGGGACCGTTCTTTTCACTGCCAGGCGATATTCCACCGTGTGCATATAACGGGTTGTATCCATTCACTGACTTCAGAGCTATATTTTATTTGTCAATTTTTAGCAAGTGATGTGTGAATTGATATAAAATTTTATATCCAAAATCCAGATTCCTAGAGGTTATACTTTCAACCTGGAAAAATACCTAAACACAGGCCTGCTGACTGATTTGGGAAGCCTGTTTTTTCTGTATACAAATGTGCCTTATTGGTTTACATAAAGACTTCCAAGATCCGTGACTTCACTAGCTCTGGGGAGTGGGCTAGGTTTCCAGTGCCAGGCATACTTTCCCTCTTGTTGAGTGGTTCTGGGGTCCAACTAGAGAGCTGTTGGTCACCCCCATGGTATGTGTGCCACTGTGGCACCCTTAAAACTATTGTGCTATGCTGGTCATCATGTGATTCATAGATTCATAGACATTATTATCTAGGTAGGACTGATGGTTACCTCCCTCCTTTGGAAGCCTACATGGTGCCTTCTGCACCATAAGAGTTAGTCCTCAGGGAAGAGGCATTCAGGTCTGTTCCAGATCAGTGGTGTCTGGGCCATCTGAAGTGCAAGGTGTCTTCAGCAATAAGGACTTACCTTCAGCCTTCAGGGGGCAGCCAAGGGCAATAGCAATAGGCTGTGTGTCTGGGGAGTCTCTTTGAGAGTCCTGACCAACAACTCAAAAGAGGGCTTCTCATGTGTGGTGTTGCAGTTTTTGTTCAATGGTCTTCGGCTCTTGGAAGGAGCATTGCCAGACAAGATGGGAAAGTTTTATTTAAGTCAGAATGTGTGTGTGTATATAAACTAATAATACATATGTATGTATATATGTATGACCAGCTAGACTGTGGCCTGATTCTGGGTTTTTTGTTGTTGTTTTGCAGGGTTTTTTTTTTTTCGGTTTTGTTGTTTACTTGTTTACCAAGGTCCTCCCCCATTTGTCTTCCCTGAAGCAGTGATTTAATAAATGCGGGTGTCTGCCATTAAAAAACTCCCTTAGCCCCTCTGCAACCACAACCCTGGAGTCGCCCTGACCAGCAGTTTCCGGTTTGGTTAATAGCTTGATGCAGCAGGGTTTTGACTGGCTTTCAGAATATTCTTTGTGCATGTGCCTCTCACGCTCCCCCAGCCCTCTTCCTCCTCCTGCAGGCAAGCGCCTCCTCCTTTTGACAGTCTGCAGCTGGCCAGAGCTGCTCTGCCCCTGCTGTGAGTTGGAAGCTGCCCCAAAGAGTAAGGTACAAGACATCTGAGAAGGAAGTAGGAACACACTCGGGGAAGGGGCTGAGAAATCTGATGGGGAACTGTCTACAGAGGAAAATCGGGTGAGTTCTCTTTCTGAAAGAGCAGGGACCTGGTCCAGTGGTGAAAGAGAAAAGGAGGGCTACTCTTAGGGTGAGGGGACCCGGAAAGGAGTCTGACAAGAATTAATCACCTCCTGAGCCGCACACCAGGTGACTGTCCTGCAGGTTTTACCTTCTGTTGGAGGAGAATGGTTGAAATGTCTCCATCTCATGGACTCTTGATGTCCCTAAATATGTTCATGAGCATCCACCCTTTCGGGGATTCTTTATAAATTTAAAATAAATAGACATTCCCTGCCACCATGAGGCTTCAGTTGGTGCATTTACAAGCAGGTTAAGGAGGGTCATGACATTCGGGAAAAGACTTACCTTCCTGTTCCTGGACATGGGTCACTTTTATTTTGTTGTTGTTTGTTTTGGCTTTGGGGATGGGTTTTTGAGACAGGGTTTCGCTGCATAGCCCTGGCTGTCCAGGAACTTGTTTGATAGACCAGGCTGGCCTAAAGCTGGGATTAAAGGTGTGGGCCACCACAACAGGGCTGTTCTCCTTACTTTAAATGGAAATAATAGTGTAATCCTACCCAGAGGTTCCAAGTGTGGATGGCAGCTGCCTGCATAGTCCCTGACAGAGAGGGGTTCATTGATGGGAGGCTAATCTCGGCTTTCAGACCATCACTTTCATTCAATCAAAGCAAACACACGTAAAGAAAATTTCTATCACCCAAAATAAAGGAATTTCTATGGCATGAAATGAGGTGATCTATAGAGAGTAAGCTGGCAGGGCGTCTTCCCGGATTGTGCTTGCTGCTGTGGTCTCACATAGCATATAAAGGGGAATATAGAAGAATGAGGTCCTGCAAAAACACCACTTACCCAAGGAGACTTGGGAATGTCTGTGTAGTTTTCTGAGAGCCAGCCTTACCTGAGTGTTTGCCGGGAACTCTCTTACACCTCCTCCACTTGCTAATGGCCTTCTATCATGACTGCCTGCCGTTATATCTCTCTGTGAATGTCTCTAATGTAAGGATTGCCTTTTATTTTCCACTCTTTGCTTTGGGAACTCCTGGCTCCTGCCTTTGTTCCTGGCACACAACAGGTGCACAGTAAGTGCTAGATGGGCAGCTGGAAGCATCCCTGAGGAGGGAGGAAAGAAAATGTAGATTAGTATAGATGAGGATGTAGGGATGGATGACACACACGCACTTTCGTGTCTCAGAACTTTGCTGCGGGTTGTGTTGTGACACTGATGTATATTGATTGTGAGAGAGATGAACATACAGAGATACAGGTAGGAGATGGAATGAGCGGGTGTTCACACTAACAGTTACAGCGTTGCATACACAGTCTTTATTAACTCCTGTATCCAGTCTTTATTCCTTTAATCCTGTGTCCACCAGTCATTTGTGTGTCTTTACCTAAGGAGAGCCAGTAATGCCTTCCTTCAATTTTTGTTTGGGGCTTACTCTATTTTGTTTCTAAAGTAAAAAGCCCTCTGTATTTTTTAAATGAGCTCTTTTCATAAATATGCAAAAATAATAATTTTCTACTCAGTGGCTAGATTTTTTTTTGATGCTGCATCTGTTACATTTTAGAGATGATTGAATTCACTCTGGAAATTGCTTGGGTGCCTTTGACTGCAGTCTTTCCTGACCAACTCACACTCTCCTTTCCTCGTGCGGCTTTAGGAATTTACAGTTAGTCCTATACATTCAGCCCGTGGTTCAGATCTCATTGTGTCCCTAAATAAATTCCCCAGCGTCCTCATTCCCGGGCTAATTGAAGTTGTTGTTTTATGTCAACTGGCGTCTCTTGTCCATCTTTCCTCTGGTACCCGTGTGGGCACACTCCTTCCCATGCCTCTGCAGATCATAGGATGAAAACCATCTCTCCCCACAAGGAGAGCCCAAGGTCTTGGGACAAAGATCCTCGAACAAACTGCCTAGATTTTGTCCCCGGTTCCCTTGTTAATAAATGATGGGACAATACTATCAACCAGTGGACTTCCTCTGAAACCGAATGGAGTCTAGCACATAGAAAGGAGGACGTATACTAGGAAGTACTCACCAAGTTTATTTCTCCACACCCTCAACTTCCAGCAAATGGGAAAAAAATGACTAAAGAGGCATCAAATCCAAACAGGGAATGAATTTAATTATCTTTATTTAATGTTTATTTCCCCTTCTATTCTCCCTTGTTCTCTGGATTTCTGGAAAAGATAGTGTCTCATAGAAGCCATTGCTTGCGTGCAGCCCCTGAAACTGCAGCAAATAGAGAACGAACAGAAAGGCTCCGGCCTCTCCCTGCATGGTGGCATGTTCATGCTTGTGATGAGGACTCTCAGACATTATCTTAAGATTGTGGGTGTGGGCTGCTTCTCTAGTGATAAAGGTGTTAGATCTGAAACGGGCTAGGTCCCGTGCTTCAGGAGGGGACATGAATAAATGGCAAAGCAATGAGGGAAGTGGTAAGGCGGTTCCAGGACTACACATACACAGAAGAAATAAAAAGCTTGGGTAAAAACACAAAACTATAGTAGGAATTATAGGAGGAAACACATGGCCCATGTCTGATATTTACGTCTTAGGTGGCAGCTGGACACTCAGGAGACACACTGGAATCTGAGACTCCAGAATGCCAAGCAGAGGACGCGCAGGTGAGAGTATAGGCTACCCCACTCCCCAGGAAGATAAAGCCTGTCAGGGCTGGGGCTACACATTCTCACAGTGGAGACCCAGTAGCAGCCACAATGGCAATCAATGTGAAAACACTAGGAAAGAAAACAAGACTTCCCCACATTGGGCAGGAGACAGCCTGCTAGTCTAAGAACCAAGTGTATCCTTGGCAACAGGAAATCAGATGCTTAAGTCCCTGGTACAGCTTGAAATAAAGATCTGAAATCCTGTTGTCTCTTTGTTTTTGGAATAAAGTACCTTTGTACTCAAATCTCTAAGTTGGCTTTGTCATATTAAGCTTCAAGTTCCTATTTCTGAGCTCAATACATTCTCCCATGACATGAGGTTGAAAGGCCTGTGGAGAGTTGCTTGTGTTTATGCCAGTGCTGTGGAAGCTAAGACAGTTTCATGCATCCTTCCTGGGTGGTTTTATGAGTACCTAGTTTCAAATAACTCCTAAGGAAGGAATCTTGCAATGCATAAGTTTCTCAGGTCTAAGAATTCCAAATTATGGCAAAGTCTGTTGTTCTATAACCTACAGAGTTAGCAGCCATTTTCACAGTGTTCCAGGATGTACTTTTGAGAGAGGATCAAAAAAAAAAAAAAAAACAAGACTATGTTTGAGGGAAAGATGCTAAGATCCTTCCCACCCAAGGCTGCATATCTTCAATGCAAGCTGAGAATTCTGTATCTCGAGGGTATCATTGACCATCTGTTAAAACACATACATCACAGGATGGGAAGGGGAGAGAAAAAGAGGGGGACAAGGACAAAGGAGAGAGAAATAATAGGATTTTATATAGGATTGATGACAGAATCCTCATGAAAAAACAGGCACTCGGGATTGATGGCGTCCCTCTGATGTCACAGAGGTTTGTGTCTCTAATACAACCTCTCCTGTTTCTGAGGGAACTCCAGGGATCGTTTACCAGAGGGCACATTTTTAGATGTTATTTTGCTTACCTGAGCTCTCCTTAAATCAAGACACACATATTAAAATGCAAGAATGCATTGCCAGGAAATGTATAAAAGAAGGAAACCTTCCAAGTCACTTTTGCAAATCATCACCTTCGTCTGATCCTCAACGGCCTCATGAAATAAGTAGAACATATACCCTCATTTTACAAATTAAATTGTGGCTCAGTTTTTCTTTGGAAGTAAGAGTATGAATCCAGTACCTCACAACTCTACCCTCCGCTTTCATCTCAGTTCCATGTTCCCTTAGTGAACCTGTTTTCTTAGCACTGTGCCGATTCAGGAGCCTCCATATGATGCCTTTTAACAAGAGGAGCAGAAGAGGAAAGCAAAGGATTTACAGGGCACAGAGGACACTAAGGGTGACTAAGGAAGAGAGCGTGGCCATGCCCCAAGGTCTCTGATAGCACAGAGAACCCAGAAGCCATTAAGATGTTCACCCAAGCTGGTAGTCATAGCCACGGCCACGGGTTCTAGCCAGCCCTTTCTGTTCTCCTTCTGAGGGAACTCCTGGGGAAGTTCACTGAGGGCACATTTTTGAGTGCTGTTTTCCAAATGTAATGTAACTGGTACATGCAGTGTGTTAAAGAGGCGCTTTTATGATAAACCCTGTAGGTAGTCAGCTATCCCTACACTCCAGAAAAAAGCACCGAACTTTAGACTTCATCCTAAATGCCTGACTTCCAAGTAAGTTTCTCAATTTCTGCTGTAAAAATCATAAGCTTCCGTACTTAGCTATTCCACTGGAATCTGGGTAGCAGACCTGGTGGCTGTGCTCACTATAGCTTCAACAAATATTTGTGGAAGACAAATTTGCTGTATATCAGATAGGGTGCCATGCATTGGTGACAAAAACCGTGATGGGCAGGAAGAATATAGTTCCCAATCTTGTGAAGTTCACATTCTAGTGAAGGAGAGAGACATGTGATTAGTCTGCTGGAGTGGAGGATATGTAGGAGAGATTAGAGAGTCGGAGTTCAGTGACATCCTCTGGAGATGCTGCTTGACCTGACCCAAACAAGATGATTTCTCAAATGTCTGCACACTCGTACCTTAATTTTCTGGTGGTAACTCCATTGAGAGGCATCAAGTAAATCCCCGGAATTGTGAGTTTTAAAACTTTTTGTGTCCCTTGCTGAGAATGAGACAGGAAGGCTTGACCCTGCTTAGAAACTGATGGCGTCACAACCCTATGTCCAATTCACCCAAGGCGTGAGGGTAGAAGCAGCAAGGGGAAAGAAGTCACCGTTAACAAAGTTTCAGAAACCGGACTCATCAACGTCCTGTTACTTCTCTCAGTTATTCCAGATGCTGGAGTTGTTGCCACATCGTTGAAGGGTGTTCCTGCCTTCCTTGGTAAGTGAAGCCCTGCTCCAGTGAATGGGCTCCCTAGCTGTGTTTTTAGCATGGGCCTTGTAAGATACCTGTGAGCTCCTTCGCCCTTGTGGCTATACCCAAACCAGGTACCAAACCCAGATAAACCCACTGAGAGCCAGTCAAGGAAACAGCATCCAGAGTGTGGGAAGAATCAAGAATAATTGTTTCACGGGTGGTAGCGTCTTCTCGCATGGGTAAGCCTTCGGTGTAAGAACGAAACTGCCCATTAATACTGAGAGTCTTCGCATTACAAGTTCCTTGTATAGAAGCACACGTCTCTGCCTTCTGCATGGTTTGTAGTTCAGGTGATAATTTGTTGTCCAAACTGCGACACTCTGGAGAGTGAAAGGACTGCTAAAATTAGCCTGCCACCACTCCGTGAGCAACAGAGACATTAAGCAGACTTAGCATAGCAGCCCCGGGGCCATCCTGATAAGAAATTATGTCTTTGCCCACTAGATGACAATGTGTTCCCATCATAATTCCAGGTGGTCCCCTATGCAGTGTACTTTAATGGGAAGTGTTTGGTTTTTGTTTGGGGGGGGGCGGTCACAGGTTAGACTTGGGATTGAAAAATGCCTGCTCCTCCATTTGATAAAATATAAAACATAGGTATATATATTTTTAAATATAAAACAATATATATTTGATAAGATATAAAACAAAATAGAGCTTTGTGTCAGAAATAGCCTCCAAATATATAACCTCTTAACACCACATGTGCACATATGAGATTGCAAAATATAGACAGAAAAAAGGGATTTACTTCTACATGACAGCATCTTATATTTTCCCCTTTCTTATTCTTTCAATCCTATTGTTGAAAGAGGTATTATAAAAAAGAATAAGAACTGCCAATTACCAATGATAGAAATTGAAGTTTCATAATATAATACTTCAGGCTTTCTGAATATTGAAACAATCTATCTACATTCTTTTCTTTCAGGAAAAACCTAAGAACATTTAAAGCCAGACAGGAATCCCCAAAGCAAAGTAAGTCATTGTTTTGTTTTGTTTTGAGATAGGGTTTTTCTATGGAACAGCCCTGAATATCCTAGAACTTTCTCCGCCTCCCGAATTCTGGGATCAAAGGTGGGCACGACAATGCCCAGCAAAAAAAGTCATCGTTTCTCCTTCATTTTTACTCTTGATGGACTTACATTTTTAAAATTTCCTTTCTCTGTACTTTGGAGACCCTTGTTCATTATGGACTTCTGTAGACTACTCTAGCTGTCCCTTGGCTGTCTGACTGCCAACACCCTAGCCCCACCCCCTGGAGCCTTTTTCCAAGCTGAAATTCATTGAGCCTATTTTTCTTTCTGCAGACGAAGGGATGACTTCAGCTCCTATGCAGGTAATAAGAACCCTTCTGATCCCAAGATGGAAGAAACACTGTAGATGCCAGGGCGGGGATCCCACAGTTATTTGCAGAGCCTGGTGGCAGGGACAGCAGCAATCCTGTTGTGTAACTGACTGGAGAGAACTAACATTTGCTGAGCACTTTGTTGATGGCGGGCCATACACGAGTGTTTGACAGACAGCTCCATATTGCTGTATTACTATGTTAGTCTTCTAACTTCCCAGTTACTAAGCCTGAGAGCGTGAGTTATAGTCTCTGAATCCAGACCTCTGAGAGATGACAGAGCCAGCATCCAAACTCCTGTCCCGCTCCTGCAGCAACATGCTTTTCACTGTGAGTTGCTGCCTTTGAATTTTTAGCTCCTGAGAATCCACCATTAGTTAGACCTTGCCTTGAATACAGTAATCTGCAAATAGGGAGCCTGTGGGTGTTGTTCAGTGTGTGGAGAGTGCTGATCTAGCATGCAGGAAGCCTTGGGTTTGATCCCAGCACAGGATATGCTGAATGTGGTGACATACATGTCCCCTTGGCTCTCATACGATAAAAATAAGAGGACTAGAAGTTCAAGGTCATCCTCTGCTACATATTGACTGGAATACATGAGACCCTATCTCAAATGATGACTACAATAATAATAATGATCTCTTGATGAGTAATTAAATATTATCTAACCCAAGGGAAGCACACAAGGTGGCCAAGGGTCACTATGGAACGTGTCAAAAAAAAGACACACGAAGTTAGCTATATACTTTGGGTGACATGAACACTCCATCTTCTAGTTTAGCGTTTGGAATGCTGCTGCAGCCATTTAGAAAAGATGGCCATGAAATGAAGGAAGTGGCAATGGTGGAAGACAGAATATCCCCCATCAGGCCCGTGTGGTCACTGAAGTATAAATGGAACGGAAAGAGGTCAGCTCTTTATGACGACTCTCCTTTGACCTGCAGGACAATGCTAGCCAGATGTACACAGAGGAGTTATGCTATGTGCTTGTTGATCACAAGGCCCTCGGAGGAAGACCGCCAGGCAACTCTGCTGAGGGCTTCTATGAGAACGTCTCCAGCCAGACTGAGAGACACAGAGAGTCTTCAAGAGAAGAGACTGAGTATTCCGTTCTCCGTTTCTCTCCCACCCCTCAGTCACCACCTTCCACAGAGGATGAATATGAACTTCTTGTGCCCAGAACACTCCTGTCTCATGCCCCTCAACAGCCACGGCCATTTACAACTGCCTTTGAGACTCACTTTTCTCATCTAAAATGATGTGACAAGATTAGAGTTTGTTTAGCACTGACAGATCAAAGGAGGAGTTAGGGACCCTGTTTGATGACAGATAAACATAGGGTTTGGGGGACACTAGTTGAAGCGGTCATAGGGCATCATGATCCTTAGCTTATTTCTTCTGGAGGACCTTGGCAGGGCAGACTGCAAACCACAAAGCCTTATAGAGACTGACAGTGGCCAACATTCAAAAATTAGTCAGTTGTCTCGAACATCACTCTTGTTTCTAAGTGATGTTAAAAATACTCTGTGGTAGGAAGGGCTCCCCGTATCTACACCTGGGAGTACCGCAAGAGGCTCGTCTCTTCTCACTCAGTTCTGATAAATTATCCCCACAACTGTTTTCTGAAGCCAGAGGAAGCTTACTCATCATGTTACATGTCCCCAGGGGGAATTCCCTCATTATTGTGAAATTCCAGCTCAGCATCACTTGCTATGCAACCTGCAATATTCCTTTTATTCCATGGTCCCAAGACATGTCCTACTTGGTGTTGCTTTCCCTCACAGTCCCAATGGCTTATAATTTCCTGCATGATTATTGTTAATATAATTTTAAATTACATTTTCAAACACTGATTTTCCCCTCACAATTGTTTTTCTTTTACGGTGCAGGAAGTCATCTCCAGAACCTCATCCATGCTAGGCAAGTGATCTACCATGAAGAGAGAGTTCAAATGCCTTCACATACATATCAGTAGAATCTACCCTGGTCTACAGAGTGAGTTCCAGGGCAGCCAGGGCTACACAGAGAAACCCTGCCTCACCAAACAAAACAAACAAGCAAGCAAGCAAAAACCTCAGGAGAATCACCATAGTACCAGAGAACGATGGAGGAGAAAGGCCACTGATGAAACTTTGATCCCACCATCTTCTCTTTTTGACTGGGAGATCATAATTTGCCCAAAGGTACTTTGTTAGCATTAGTGCAGAACCTTACTCTAGCTTCCGAGTCTGTGTTTCTGCTATATACTATATAGAGTAAATTTCTCCATAACTAACCCAGCATGTGTGAATGTCCACATGGGGAAGATAACACACACACCTTCTCCGTGAGCACCCTCTGTGCCTCGCTTCTTCATTTTCACTCAGTTTTTCTTTAGAGTTTCTGGAATTGCATCTGCCCTACATTAGCCAATTCTGCATAACCAGCAGACAGACCAAATCTGACCCGCCACCTGTCTTTGGAGATAAAGGTTTACTGAAACATGAGCCACAACTGATTTGTCTGCCTACTGTCTATGGATGCTCAACCATGGTAGAGTTAATTTGCAACACAGACCAGGGCTTTGCAAAGCTAAAAATACCTTTAATTTATCATAGTCTGGATAATAATTTTGCAGACCTTTGCCCTAAACAAGCACAGGTTGTGGTTTACTTGAGATTTACTATGTGTGGTTATTGAGGCAGCCCTGGAGGAGGAGATATCAATGAAATAGTGGGAAATCATGAAAACACAAATGAGATGAGCGAGACGAAAGCAATTATTAGCAAATTAGACTATTTCTCCACTCACACCTGCACCCTCAAGGTGTTATTGTATTTACTTCATGGCCACTCTCCTAATTTTAGAGATGCTAAAACGACAAGATGTTCGTTGAGACGAGCTCTGGATGCTATGTATTTAATAACTGATGTTTTCTCCATGCTGAATACCTTTCTGCTTAAAACGCCGCAAGGCATTAGGGAGGCAGCTCGGTAGTAGGATCCTTCTCCAGCATGGACAAGGCATACACACACACACACACACACACACACACATGCACACAAATAAATAGCTAAAGAATATAAAGCAGCCCTAGTGACCCCCTGAGAGTAAACGCAGCCACTGACAATCCTCTGCGTGAGTCTGCTGAGCCATAAGCCGGTTGATCCCCTGCAGCTGATGAGCTGACCAGATCCCAGCGCCTTGGTCTCTGCTAACTCCCTTCTTCCAGTGATCTTGTACACAGAAGCCTAACTTTAGACTTTGGCCAGAAGTCACTTGGTTTGCTCTACAAGATGCAGCACATGGCTTGTGGGAAGCTGTGTGGGCCAGAGACTGATTCAAGTCTTCGTTTCTTTTCTGCCTCTGACTCTGACCCACTTAGTTGAGGCTCGGTCTATTGCACCCACATGTTGGCAGGCTACATCTGACATATGGCCACCTATTCTAGTTAGCTTTCTCCTGCTGTGATAAAGCAGTGGCAAAAATCCCATCTGGGGAAGAAAGGGTTTAGTTGGCTTATATGTGCCAGTTGTGGTTCATCAGGGCTGGAGCTTGAGGCAAGAAATAAGGCAGAGGTCTTGGAGGAATCCTACATCTTCTGCATAGCTCTCTTAATTTGCTTTTTATACAACCCAGGAACAGTTGCTCAGGGGCGGCACTGCCCTAGTTGTCTGGGCCCTCCCACACCAATCATCAACAAAGGCAATGCCCCCACAGACATGCTAATTGGTCAAGCCAATGGCAGTGATTCCTAAGCTGAGGCTCCCTTTTCCCAGATGACTCTAGTTTGTGCCAAATTGAAAAAAAAAAAAAAGACTAACCATCATAACACTTATCAAAGACCCTGGGAAGAAACTATAGTAAAGAATAAAGCCTAGAGCCCCCAACTTCCCTCAACAGATGGCTCTATGTTAGAGCTCTTCACGTGGATACCACACCTTTGTGGCTGGTTGGTGGCGAAGATATTCTCAGTACAATACAATAAGCTGTATTTGTTTGCACTTCATCCAGTGAAGCACTATCTGTCACCCAAACGCAAATATCTTTTATCAGGACCTCACTAAATCTAAATGCAGAGCCGAAGAAGCATGGCTACATGATAAGCTAGAGGGACTGCACACCAGCCTGTCTGGACGGAAGAGTCGCTGGGGGGTTTAAAAACATCTGCTACGGATGCAAATGCAGTAATAGCTCAGGGAGTAAAAGTGCTTACCGGGCAACCCTGACAACCTGGGTTCAATCCTAGGGCTCCATAGTGGAGGTGAGAACTGATCTCTGAAAGTTGTCCTCTTTCACATACACACTCAGACACACGTACACACAAATACACACACACACAGCTCTAACTGGACTTAGCATGTTATTTTTAAAAAAGCATAAAGTGGGTTGGGTTATGTTGGTGAGATATGAGAAGAGTTGAAGGGGAAAATGGGGGTAAGAGTTTTATCATAGATATGTTTTAAATTCTCAAAAAAAAAAAAATTCTAATGGCTACCACAGGCTGATGCAGCTGCCCTTTCCCACACATTTCAAGAGTTCTGATGAAACTGTGTAGCCTTGCAGAAAGTACACACCAACATAGATTTGTGTGTGTGTGTGTGTGTGTCCCTCACTTACAGAATCCCTGTTCTTGAGAAAGAAATTGAGGCTGAGTTTCTAATTTACTCTTTCAAGTCACAGCTATAACGAGAAATGCCCCTCCTTTGTTTAGGGCTTCAAACAGCACACAGAAAATGGAGAGAGCTGCTGTACAAGCCACGGCAGGCATTGTGGTTTCCGCTCACATTCACGTTAGCACCTATAAATAAATTCTTATTCTGTGAATAAATTCTTATTTAAAACAGAAGAGAGAAATAGGAAAGGGCGAAGACAAGTCAGAAAAATGTACCAGTGACAAGTTCAAATGCTGACGTGATTAGAACAGCCTCTTAAGTCTCTCAGGATGGAGGACATGGGGGTAGGGGACAGGATGGAGGACATGGGGATAGGGGATGGGATGGAAAGGCATGGGGTATGGGACAGGATAGAGGGCATGGAAGAACTGGTGTGGAAGGTCATAGAGAGGAAGAGAGGAGCAGGATAGATGGGAATAGGTGGGGGGACCAGGATGGAAGGCTATGAGGCGGACAACTGCATTTCCAAGTCACCAGAGGAGCCTACAGAAGAAACAAGATTCTTTCTTGTTGCACATGACTGGCCCTTTCCAAACCTAGCCTCTGAAGTTCACACATTTGACTAAATCTGAAGATATACTGGTTCAACCAACTATTAAATAGATCAATATAAATCAATCCTATTCTTCTGATCTTTTTATTGTCAAAGGAGAAATGCCACAGCGTCATTTTCATTGGTTTTCTGCAGCCCGACGGCTACATCTGTCCGTTCTTCTCTTCCCCCATCACTGTGTTCCTGACAGATTCTCTGATGCCAACCAAAGCTGAACTGAGGATTCACTCAGGGCATCCACCAGCATGGGTGGCCTACCCAGTGGGCTAGGCTTTGTCTTTCACAAACTGTAGGACCATAGATGACCTCCCTCTCTCTCCCTCTCCCTCTTCCTCCCCCCCATCCCACTCTCCAGGCTTTGGCTTCTAGCTATAAATTGTGGATCCGCCTTCTGATGTTGTGGATCATTGCCAATAAACATAGAAAAGACATTAAAGAATGCATAGAATACAGAATGAGGAGAACAGCAACAGGGTCATGTACTTTATTTAATGATGGAAGAGAAGAGAGAAAGGGATACTGCTCCCACGTTGAACTCTGGGTTCATGTCAAGCATCTGCATCTTTTAAAAAGGAGCTGGAGACACAGTGCTTGTCTGGCATGTGTGAGATCCTAGGTCCAATCCCCAGTACAGCAAAGAAACAAACAAAACCATGTTAACTTTATCAGTCTAAAGGGCAAGCCAGACTTGGTTGCCCACTTCTTTAATCACAGCACTCAGGAGGTGGAAGTAGGCAGATCTCTGTGGGATCAAAGGGAGCCTGGTCTACCAAGTGAGTTCCAGGACTCTTACACAGAGAAACCCTGTCTCAAAAGACAAATGGGCAAAGGACAAAGGACAAGCCTGCTTGTTCAAATCTCACTAGCACTTCAGGGTCAGCATGAGTCTACTTCTCACACAAAGTCTGCAAGCAGACTCCACTGGCCATTCTTTTCTCTGACCCACAACCCTACAGTTTGTCTGTATGGTTTACAGTTAAACCTGGCTATTTTTTCTCTGCTGTTTCCTGTTTCATACACGCAGATCCTGTTTCTCTAATCACATTAGCAACTTCTTTTATTTTTTTCTTCTTCACTGGTATCATCTATGCATGCACGAAACCATATGACTCACATCTACCAGTGGCTAGAGAGATGGCTCAGTGATTAAAAGTGCTTGCTCCTCTTGCAAGGGACCTAAGGTCAGTCCCAGCGCCACTGTGACTTTCACAGCTGCCTACAATTCCAGCTCCAGGAGATCCGATGCCTTCTTCTGATCTCCTCGGACTCCTACACACACATGGTACACATACATACACTCAAGCACAGATTCATAAATAAAAATAAATAAAAAATTTAAAAGATAAAAATTATCTTTGCAACCAAATTGAATTGCAAAGCTATAAAGGTGGACACTTGGCTAGAAGTTTTGTTGAGAACAGGACAAGTGTTTCTACCCATAGCTAAATGACTTCCTGAAAGCAACAGGTTTTCATCCTAAACCCTTCAATTATTTTACAGGTACTTGTTGAACCTTGTGATGCACCAGGCATTATTCCTGTCATTAAGATACGCGGTGACCGCAAGACTTGCTTTCTATAACAAAACAATGTGTATGTGCACAGGGTTGTTCTTATCAAACATCTCTGTATGCTTTAGCTACCCATAATGTATTATACCCAAAAGCCAAACCTTGGAAAGTCTTCTCTAGGGTCAAATGGTCAAAATCAAAACTAAGTTATTTTTATCTTAGTTTCTCCTGGAAAAAAAAAGAGGAACAAAACCCGACCCCATCTCCATACATGGACAAACCCATCCTTCCCGCCCCACCCAAGATGCAATTTCCTGCAGAAAAGATTTATTTTGGTTCATGGTTTCAGCCCATCGTCATAGGGAAAGCAGAATTAATGGCATCAAGTGTCCATGGTGGGGAGTGGGAGAATTCCACATTATGGTGGACTGAGAAGCAGAATATGAAGCTTGGACAAAGTGGACTGGGCTTCCAGTGGTTGCCTGTAGCAGTCTCCTGAGGTCAGTGAGGACCACCTCCTAAGGGTTATACAGTTTCTCCAAAAAGTATCACTATCTCTAAACAAGTGTTGCACACATAAGTCAGCGGGGGACATTGCAGATTAATACTGTAACACTTTGCAGAAGAAGGACCGCAGAGAAATGAGAGGCCACAGCCAATCCCAGCCCAGCCTGGTCCAATTGGGCTTCATCTTATTCACACAGAAGAGGAAGCTGCCTTCACACACACAATCACTTCTACCCCCATTTTCTGCAAGACAAAGCCCACCTAACATATAGTCTTAGAGAGAGGAGACCTGAGAGGCAGATGATAAAACAACACAGTTGCAAAAAAATAATAATAATTTATTGTAAATGCTCCTAAGGCATTATATATTAAAATTCCTCATTACTTTCCAAAAAGTACAGGCACAGAGAGGTTCACATTTGACGTAAAAAATAAAGGGGAAGAAGAAAAATCCATCCGTTTCAGTAGTTTAAGGAACTATACTGAAAATGAAACAATAAATTACTATATAGAAATTATTATTACTATAACATATAGTAGATAAATAAGAAAGCAAATTCACATTGTTCAGAGCCCTACATTTGATGCAGACACATACATAGCTGTCTTCCAGTGACCTGCATCCATGGCTAATCTATCTGAGGTATCAGGCTGGGAAATTTCTCATTCCACAATGAAACTCGCTCCCCCAGAATTTCCAGAAAGACAATTTCCCCCAACAAAACAAATATTCTATTCCCTCATGACAGGCATTCTCTATCTGCAGGTGACTGATACAGTCACTAACTTCCTTGTGGCCTTCCAAAGGACAGGCATGCCTCTTTTGACAATTTCAAAAGGACTGCTTAGCAATCATCTGCAGTAAGACACACAAGTAACAAGTCAAGAAACTGTGTCCTACAGAAAGGCTGGTAACACCAGCCAATGCAAAGCCAGTATGCAGTATCAGTAGCAGAAATTAAGCAGTCCTGATGATCCTTTGATGAGTTTTACATAAAACAGCAATGATAATAATAAAAACCTGGATGGCTGGCAACCTTAAAAGATGGCAGCATGTTCAAAACTCACAGACTTATGTTTTCAAAAAAAAAAAAAGATACTGAGGCATCTCAGGAACAATGAAGAGATGAGAAACAAGATGCATCGAACTTATTTCTATAAGTAACACAGTGATATGGCTGAGCTCAGTTGTTCAGACACCTAGGTATAGGTGGTGGAGGTAGACAAAGAGTTATGGTCCTTATGGTCCTTCCTGTTCCTCCCATCCTTTGCTTAGAGGTCTATCAAATATAGTTGTGAGTGGAGAGAAAACTTGAATGAACAATTGACTCGGTTCCCTATCCCCTGACTACTTGCTTTCACCTTGCCCCATCAACACAGGTTAATGGCCAGGTACTCTGCTTGTACTACATGAAAGGCATCCATGCTCGAGCAGAGGCAGCCAGTGCTTCAAAGGCAGCAGGAAGCTTGGGTTGTGGATCTTTGGTTCGCCCCAGACCTCATCTAGCTCCTGAATCCAGCTGGGACAGCTCTCATGAATTCAGCAAATGGAGCCAGGCTCCCTATCTGTGCAGCATGAGTGGGAGGACTGTGTCCTCCTGCCGGTCACTACAAGATGGACTGTCTCCTCCTGCGTGTCACTACGAGATGGACTGTCTCCTCCTGCCGGTCACTACGAGATGGACTGTCTTCTCCTGCTGGTCACTACAAGATAGGTTTTTGAATTCTCTTCCTTCTGAAACTGCAGAGCATTGCTTTCTGACACAGACCAACCTCCACCACTTCATTCTAGAAAGAAAACAAAGACAAACCAAAGTTACCGCCATGCCTAGTTTCCTCTGTCAGCTTGACCCGAGCTGGAATCACCTGGGAAAAGAATCTCAATGAGGGGTTGCCCAGGTCAGCTTGGCCTGTGGGCCTGTCTGGGGGTGGGGGTAGTGTTGACTGCCTTAATGAATGTGAGCGGACTCTGTCTGAAAGGGGGCAGCACCACTCTGCAGTCTGGAGCTCAGGATGGGGTAAGAGTAGAGAAAAAGAGTTGAGCACGGAGTGTAAGTGCATTCATTTCTTGACCGTGGTTGTGATAATAATGAGAAACCTGAAGTTCCTGCTGCCCCGAGTTCCCTGCAATCACAAACTGGAACCTGAAATCAGATTTTATCCCAGCAACAGAAGTGAAACTAGGCCAGTCACTCATTTTCAGAAACCAAAATTATTTTCAACATTTGCTGAAACATTTGACTTTTTGGAGTATGTAGTAGAAGATCAAATTGGAATAGCCATTGATTATGAATAGAGAAACTTTACTCTCTGTGTGCATACACAAATACACACATGCATATAGGTAGAATGCATGCCACACAGTGGACACTCTTCAAAAGGCAAATAGCATTTCCCTTTTTGGATGCTAATTTATTTGCAAAATAATTTTTATTTTTATTTGCAAACTAAGTAGATATTCATTTATTTTGGGTATGATTGGTGACAAATATGTGATAGTCTTTTGGATAATGAAGGCATTTTTGACATTTGACCTTTCTCTGTACTCCAATTGTGGCAATAACTAACATATGAGCACCCCAAACCACCTTCAGTGTGCCAGGAGAAATGAACAAGGCACATGGTAGCCTAGGTGGAGGTCCTCACATTGGCCCTGGTGGACACTACGGGGAGAGTTTGCTGTTCTGTGTGGGGTTCCCAGTCCCCGAGGCCTATGTTTCCCTACACTGCTTCCTCACTATTCTGTCTGCTTACAGGCTGTAAGCTCCAGAGAAGGACCAGCTTGTGGAAGAGTGAGTAAAATAATGACTTGGCAAAAGACAAGGCAGCAACACTGCCAAGCCAGGTCATCTGCCCCAATCCATTGGCTTAGCATTCCAGGTCCTAATTCTTCGCTTTCTCTACTTACCATAGAGCAAGAGTGATTCTGGGTCCAGCCCGAGACTCTCACAACTAGACAGATTCTTATCGTGGAAATTCTGTCGCACAATGCCAAGCACCAGCTCTTCACTCATCATGAACTCCATGAAGCCATCATCCTCAGCTGGAACTCCGAACTGCAAGTGGTAGGTTACTGTGGCGTTTTCAACGCTGGAGGCCAAGTCATTGAAACAGACAGACAGACATTACTGTGAATAACTAGAATCACAGTTTTAGCATTACTTCTTTGGCTCCACATCCTCCTGTAAGCAGCTTCAGAGAGTGCACTGGCCTAGGAAAACGCACTGCCCTTGACCCCGCCTCCGCAGGCCATCACACCACCATCACCAACTCCTCACACTTTAGGGGTCCACCTTTGGAAGGGAAGGACACAGCCCCGCTATATAAAGACTGAGAGTTGACGCAGCACCCACCTACATCAGCCTTTCATCCTGTAGGGCCGAGCAGGAAGCCTGGCCTCTCCTCCTCCTCTATTCACATCTCACTGTTCTCAGTGTTGCCACTACGTGTATGCATCAGAGCTAGTCGCTTTAATGAGTTCTTTAAAAATGTTATTTATTTCTCCTTGCGTAAGTTCTCACACACATACGCACACACACTTTGATCACACCTTCCCCCAGGTTTAACCAGTTAACCTATAAACATGATTATGGTCTGAGCCAAGGTTCATTACCCTGACCTAGCTCCAGACCTCATGATCCCCCTGCCCAAAATGCCCTGTGCTCCAGCAGTGAGTCCTTCCTCCTGTGTTTGGGGGTAATACCCTCCTATATCCACTTCCACAGCCCCCTAAGACATGATGACAAACTATTAATCCTTTATTAATGAGACCTAAGGAATTTCCAACCCAGGAGGCCCTAACCTTTTCATCTTTTAGCACACATTTTTTCCAATTTTTTATGGTGTAAATAATTATAGGTCTATCCTTAATTAGTAGCTTAAGCAGCCCTATAGAGGCTACCTCACAGTTATTCTAGTTATATGGTTAAGATGACCCAGATTAGGCTCAGCAATAAAAAAAAATCAACAAACAGTCACATCAGAGAGATTTCTTCGAGGCAGAGTATTATAGAGGCTTCAGTCTCTGGAGTTAATCGGGCCCCTGCCCTGCTAAGGATAGGCAAAGAGCTCCCTCTTGAGGCCAGACATCACATAGGTTACTGTCTGTACATTCTATAATGCAGGGGAGAACTCAGTTTGCAAACTTTCCCCAATAGCAAAGAAGTGTGCCAAGCTCTGTGAACCAAATAAATAATGAAGTTTAGACTCTAACAAAGCCCAGGTACAAGATGCCACTAAAGGCAGTCTTAAAAGCCCGTTTTCTATCTCCAGTCCAGCTACCTGAGTTTGAGAGTGACCTGAATTATCCCCTAGCAATGTGATTTATCCCGACGGAGGATGCACAGATGGGCAGGCAGCAGTTCTGTATGAGCACTGCTAAGGACATGGGCTAGTTGATGAAAAGGACCTGAGGTGGATTTCAGAAGATCAAACTGGAAGGAAAGTGAGACCATCAGGCTGCCTGACCCAGTCTGAGAACGCCATCCCTCTGACCCCTGTCTCCCCAACCCCAACCGCCACCCCTGACTCCTGGCTGATTTATAAAAGGCAGAAACTTGAGAGCTGTTTTTCTGTGGACTTTACCACAGCGGCCCACCACTGGAGTGGGTCTAGCGGCTGATGCAGCAAACAATATTTTCAGATTCCTGATGGGCCAGCCTGGTCTGAGGTAAAGAACTCTCTGTAGATGTAAATGCGCGTTCAAGGGACAGGGATGCCATTTCACACCTGCAATGTCAGGAGCCATTTTCCCAAAAAGTATAGTAGGGACTATTGTCCTAAGAATGTTTGCGGGGAGCCCCACATTCCAACTATCTAGAGAACTGATTGTGGTTGGAATCACAAAAGGAATGATTCCACTTGCATAGAGAACACTAGGTGTGTCGACTAGTGACCATTGCTGCCCCGGCAAGATCCCTTCCTGCCCTTGCCATGCCCCTGCCCCCATCCCAAGCCAAATTCCTCATTCAAGGGCTATATAAGCCACAATCATTTCGCTAATAAAGGGAGACCTTGACAAGAACTCCGCTTGGTCTCCTTCCTGTCTCCCGCCCACGTCTGGCGCCTATTCAGGACTTTGGAATAGCTGACCAGCTGGGTGGGTTACACTGCAAGGGCAGCAACCTTGAAAGTTGAATCAAGCCAAGTGTGTGAGGTCCAACTCTGCAATTCTTCCTTTCCTGCTTGCATTTTTGTGCCAGTGACTTATGATTGAAGGCAATATAGTCAGAATTGGGCAGTGGGAGCCTACAGAGACTTATGAAGAAGAATGAGGACAGCCTTAGACTGCAGATACTTTCTCGTCCTCCCCATCAGGTCACCACTGGCGTTAGATGCTTCCCACAGTTCTATGAGCTTGAGTGGTAGAATTTTAAAAGACAACACTGACTTTGATGACTGCCTCTCAGTGACACCTGAGGAACAACTGACAAGGCTTTGTCACATAAATCTTGTTTAAAATACTTTCAGTAATCTCTGTGATATAAAACTATAATTATTAACTGACTCCTTACACACACACACACACAAGCACACAGACACACACACACACACTTTGGTCTATATCCCCAAACTATTAAAAATTTTATGGAATTAAAAAGTGTATATATATATACATATGTACATATATATATATACATTCACACTGTGTATAGTAAATATGTACTCAGAAAAAAATCAAGACAAACTGTTGGGGTTGTTAATTCTGTAGAAGTGAGTGTCATTGATAGCAGCATTAAAGAAAGGAGGCAGAAGGTAGACTTGACTGACAGGTTTGTCGCTATATTCTTCATATTAAATGGAGAATATAATTCTAGATCTCTTTTGTGGCACAGAGATCGTGTCACTTCTGGTCCATCACTCTCTGAGATGTATGTCTATTTCTGACCTAGATTTATGTCTATGCCTGTCATTCCCATTTTTTCTTCGTTGTGAGATACCAGCTGAGCTAAGTGGTTTCCCGGACCTAGTCCAGCACAGCACTGTGATTCTATTATTGGCCCCTTCCCTGCACCAAGACTCTTGGCAATCACTGTGGGTGGGTAAACAGTGATGGGATGGGCAGGTGGACGTGTTTCTTCGGAGCAAGAGGCCAAGTTCTGTGCTCTAACCTTGTGGAGGTCCAAAATGTGAGCCTGCTTCAAGGTGGACCAAAGGTCAGAGGGTTGGAGTTTTACACTAGTTCTTTAAAGGTTATTGTGCTTCTACTTCAAACAAAGGTCCCACCTAGTTGTCGAACAGAGAGTTCTGCTCTCTCAAGGTTATTGTCAACAGGTGTGGCTAATTGCCAGACCTTGTACTCCAGGAATGGAGTAGTTTGTTCCAACCTCAAACAAAAGTCTAAGGATCCAACTAAGTTCCAGTTCCCTTTATGGAACTTTGGATTCCACCCAGGGAGTGGTTTGCCTACAGAAATATTTTGGTCTAGGGTGTAAGCATGACTTGTTTTGTTCTAGCAATTTAATGTTTAACTGCGAATGTAGCCCGTGACTTTCGATTGGTATGTTCATTCCCTTGTATCATGTTTAATGCAGTCTTTTGTCTTACTCCTACCTTTTGGGGTCAGGGGTATTTTAAGCAGGAAATTAAATGCGGGCAAAACGGGAGAAATTTAGTACTCACTGAAGTTCCCTCCCAATACTAATCTATATGTCTCTCTGTTTTATTGTTTTCATTTGCGTCTTCATATTCTGTACTTCAAATCCCCACGCCTTTGACCTGGCAAGAGGTATTTTTGCTGTGGCTGGTCCCCGACATTACCTGAAGTCCACGATGTCAGCAGAGGTGAAATAACGACTCAGCGATGGTGACTGTGTATACACGTCGGTGAGCTAAACACACAGCAAGAAAAAACACACAAGTCACTGGTGATCATCTCACAAGTCAGCTACAGAAGCAAAGGACTTCCGGACAAAGGGGAATTCACTCTGGGTAGGCATTCACTTATCTAGGAGCTCTAGACTAAGAGTAAGACAGTGGAAGCTGACCACTGATCAAAGCTCAGGCTCACACTCAGTGAGTTCAGTGTTCAAAATAGAGTCTCATTGAGAGTTAAGTACATGCCTATAATCCCAGCATTCTGAAAGCTGAGGAGGCCAGACTGCCCAGGAGTTCTAGGTAAGCCTGGTCTTCATAGTGAGTTCTAGGTCAGCCAAGACTGCACAAGACTCTGTCAAATAATAAATAAATAAATAAATAAATAAATAAATAAATAAATAAAAATAGGCTTATTGATAAGGTCCGAGTAACTCACTGGGAATTGTCTACATCACTTAAGAGTTGAGCTGACACTTGGTATCCTCAGTGGTACTATGGTCAGTGATCCTCAAGCAGAAGCTCATAGGGACGCCACAAACTGCTCGGGAGTGAGGGGAAGATAAGGGAAGGGATCAGTTCAGCACAAGCCACTCAGCTCCAGGGACATCACTGGTCGCGGGCTTCTTTCTTTCTTCTACAGAACTTCATTGGTAGGAGAAAAGTCTATCCTGAGTGTCAGGTCCAGCACTTCCCCAGGCAAGGGAACAAAGTGATGAAGTTCCAAAGATATGGAGGCTTTGCATGCATCCCAAAAATGATAATACCCATATTTCCACCACCTGAGCTTCATGCCTTCACATTTGGCTGGGCAGTAGCTCCAGAGTCTATGAATGTTTATTATTTCCTAATAAACCAATTTGTGGGTTGAAATTACCAAAAGTCAGAAATATAAAAATGAGGGTGTAAGGGTAGGTAGAGGCTGCAAAACCAAAATGAGGCCCATGAAATTGGGCAAAAGAGTCTGGAAGAGAGAGGGGATGGGGAGACCAATAGAACAATGTGATGGGAAAGAGGAAGGGGGGCATCGTAGGACAGACCACTACGGCAAGGATGGTAGCCAGGAGAAAGGGGAGAAGAGCTAGTGAAGAAAAAGACAAAACTGTGTGCATATGAAAATACCACTTTTTTATATTGTATTCTAATTAAAAATGATCGAAATGCCTTTGATACATCTAACATAATCAACATCTAGCCTAGCCCAGTCTACTTTAAAGATGCCCAAAACACTTCCTTTTGTTGGCCTACAACTGGACAGACCCATCTAACACAAAGCCCATTTTATAATAAAGTGCTATATTCATACAAATTGTCTAAGTATTGTCACTAAACCCCAAACCGGAAAGGCTATATATGTGTGATTTCACACCACCAAAAGTCTGGAAACCATTAATTAAGAATTAGGCAATCTTTCTCCCTTCTGTGGCACTGACCAACACCCTAACATTGGTATGCATCCTTTCTTCACTTATGCTTAGAAATCACTACTTCTTATAGAATCATAACAGCATTTTATTTATGTTCCGACATGTTCTTAACAGCTTGATCAAGCTGGTCTCAGATTCCTGACTCAGTATCTTCCTGCCTCACATTCGTAGGTAGCTGAGACCACAGATGTGTATTATTGTGAGCAAATTAAGACTTACTTTTTTGCTTCGCTGAAAATTACATTGAGAGTCATGTCTAAGAAACATCTCAGTGAAGGCTTTTCAGTCTCCCACAGAGACTGCATTACATCACTACCCCAGCTCATCAGTTTCCCTACTGATGGCCATGTGACTTCCGTCCCTGTTGTCTTTACCATAAACTATGCTGATGCAATCATCCCCAGACATTTCTGTGCACCTCTTTGTTCATGTGAGAATCTCCCCGAGGCACATGGCAAGGAGTAGAACTACTGGTCCAAAAGTAGCTGCATCTTCAACTCAGCTCATTCCTGATGAACATTCTCCATTTTCCTCTCCTCAGTGCACTCATTCCTATTCCACTCCCCATACTCTTACTGGACTTAAAATTTTCCCAACTTTGGGGATGTAGGACAGTGTGTCACACTGTGTATACTGCCTATCCTACTATAGGGGGAGTACATTTCTAGGTGTTCAACTCTCTCAGACCTCTTACCTCTGAATCATCTGTCATTTCTTTTTCTTAGCTTTTCCCTATCTATTTGGAGTGATTGGTTTTATTTTCAGACAGTAGTTATTGGCATTATGTGACATCATTGTTTTCTGGCCTTGAAAAGTTATTTTTGCTTTCCTGTGCATTTTGTCTGCATTTGTCTGTACGGGTACTGCACAGGTACATGGTGCTCATGGAGACAGGAGAAGGCATCGGATGCCCTGGATGTTGTGAGCCAACATGTGAATACTGGGAACCAAACCTGCGTTCTCTGCAAGAGCAAAACATGCTCTTCACCACTGTGGCTCTCTCCAGCCTGGTTTTCCAAACTTTGATTGGTCCTCTCATCAAGGTTCAGAGATACACATCCTAACTCCTTTGTACTAGAGAACACATGGCAGATGAAATTTACAGTGTTCCTTCTGCATTTACATTGGAAGATTAAAATCTTGTTTCCCAACGCACTAGTTCTAGGGTAAGTCAGCAGTGGACTGGGATCTGGTACCACTTTCAGCATGAGCACAGCTCTGGATTAAAGTCACAGCTACATCAAAAGCAAGACCGGACCCATTCCTGCTCAGCCTGCAGCCTCCACCTGAACACTGTTCTGGGCTTCTCACTTCACCAGTGGTGAGCTTGTGGTAGCTAGCCATCTCTAGGTATACCAGGAAGGCCTGTTGAGCCAGGAACTTATCCAGTAGTAAGCACTGTAACATACAACATGCAGTAGAACCCTATGAAGGTGCACACCTTCTTTCCTACCTAATCTCAAGGAGGTTGCACAACCAAGCACTCTCACCTAACTCAGTGGAAATCCAGTGGTACTCGGGGTGTGTACAGTTCTAATCTTAGAAATGGAACCTTTAAAAGAACTCCACATGAGAGGAATTTTGTCATTCCCTTTCTACAGATTAAGAACCAATATTCTAAGAAGTTAAAAACTTGCCAGTTTCTTCATACACAGCTCATAAATTCTGAGGGCCAAATTCACATTTATATGTGACAGACATGAAGCCCAGATGAGGGATGTGTCTTTCACTGAAGTATCAGGAAAGAAAAAACAAAACACAATAAGAGCTTCAGAGGAGGGTGGGAAGAAGTCATTCAGCTCTTGAGCTCCAGTATGAAGAAGGTGGATGATGGACGAGGAGAAATTCAGGTTCTAGAAGGCAACACTCACTGCTCAGAATGGAGGGAAGGAGATGGTAGCTAAAGGATGCTACAAAGGATGTTTTCTCAAGCACTAAAAATACTGGTATACTGGTAATTAATAGCAACCAGATGCCTCTCTTTTTGTAGACTGTACCTATCATTCTTCATAAAAACTTATGCGTGTATGGTGTGTGTGTGTGTGTGTGTGTGTGTGTGCATGCACCTGCCTGTATGGAGGCCAGAAGTCCCCTTTCTCTGTTGCTCTCTACTCTGTCTTTTGAGTTAGTGTCCCTCCCTGAATCCAGAACTCACCAAACTAGACTAGGTGACCAACAAGTTCTAGGGGTCTTCCAGTCTCACATTCCTGACTCACTCACCCCAATAATAGGATTATAGATTCAGGCATCCATGCCTGGTTGCTTTATATAAGTTTGGGGAATCCAAATTCAGGTCCCCATGTTTCCAAAGCCACCTCCCCAACACCCACTATTATTTCCAACCTGTTCTTTCCCTATATTCCTTCCGAAATCCACCCTAGGATCTAGCACTCTGCACATAGCAGATGCTCAGCAAAATGTCAAAGCTAAAATTGTGAATTAAAAGTTGGAATGTATGGCTGGTGCACAGTTAGTGTGCACTCTAAGGGTCTCTGGCTGGTGCTTCTCATTGCACACACAGCTATATTTGCATTACAAAAACTCAGTAATAAAAATTAACAAGACTACTTGGGTGAGATAGGGAGACTCATCTGTCTCACTCTTTAATCTATTTGATTTTTGTATTGGTTTCATAGGAGTCCTGGTTATAAAGCATATTCCAAGCTCTAGGCACTGTCCACTTGATAGTTAGAATAGCAATGTTTATGGTGTAAAATATCCTCCAGAAACTACTTTTGTTCCTATATTCCTTCCTCCCTGTCTTCTGCAGGGTCCCAATGGTTCCATCTAATGTTTGGCTGTGAGTCTCTGCATCTGCTCCCATCAGTTGCTGGATGACATCCCTCCAATAACAATTGAGCAAGGTACCAGTCTATGAGTATAGCGGAAAGGGTTAAAGACACCACAAGAACACAACCCACAGGACTTATAGAGGCTCACAGAGGCTGAAGTGAAAAACATGGATCCTGTATGGGTCTGACCTGTGTCTTCTGCATATATCTTATAGTTGCATAGCTTGGTGTTCTTATGGGACTACCAGCAGTGGGAGGAGTGGTGTCTCTGACTCTTTTGTCTGAGCTTGGGACCCTTTTCCTCCTACTGGGTTGCCTTATCCAGTCTTGATATGAGGGTTTGTGCCTAATCTTATAGTACCTTGTTAGGCCATGTTCTATGGATACCCCCTGAGAGTCCTGGTTTTTTTTTTTTTAAGGGAAACAGTGGATCTAGGGAAAGGGGATGTTGGGAGAGGAACTAGCAGGAGTAGAGGGAGGGGAAACTACATTTGGGATGTAATATATGAGAGAAGAACAAAAGTTCTAAAAAGTGTTTTTGTTTAGATGTTTTTATTTCTTCAGAGTTTGTTTGTTTGGTTGATTGGTTGGTTGGTTTTTTTGGTTTTGGAAACAGGATCTCACTCCAGGCTAGGCTGGCCTGAAACTTTACTACGTAGGCCAAGTTGCAATCTTCCTGTCTCAGCCTCCTAAGTGCTGGAATTAGAGCCATTCACTATCCCATGTACCTACTCAAAAGCTAAACACTTAATAGTCTGCTGAACATCAAGTGTGCTATCCTTGGCTGGAATGACAATATCAGAGAACTGGGTGAACAAAAAGGCTCCCGGAGCAAGAAATGATGTGCTGAGACCCGACTCTCAGAATGGCAACAACCGAGGATAGCTCTGGTACACTGCTTTTGTCATACTTTCCCTGGAGTGGCTGCCCAAGCAAAGGATGAGAACTGTCAAATACAAATTATCAGAAGGTAGCTTGAGAGGTTGCTCAGTGGTTAGAACCACTCACTGCTCCTGTAGAGGATGCAGGTTCCCAGCACCCAGAGCAGGTGACTCACAACCCATCTCTCTCCAGTTCTGGTGTCTGACAGTTCTGGCATGTATGTGATGCATATAAACTCACAAAGGCACACATGCATTCTCGTAAAAAAAATATTTTAAATAATTAAAAAAATGCAGGAAGTCTTTGCTGTTGTGTTACACTCCTATGCAAGCTAAGACATCCAACCAAGGTCACCAAAGCAGGATTTCTACACTACCAGGCTGAAACTAGGCTGTGTGTCCAACTGTCTGAGAAGTCAGGATTAAAGTGACAGCCAGACAGGCCAGTTTCAACTTGAAAATGATGTTCCCTCAAGGCTTTATATTTTCTTGTAAAAAGCCAATAACCTGAACCAACCTATGCTTAACAAACCAGTTATTTTCTGCCATTCTCTCTCTCTGTCTCCACTTTACAAGGACGTCATCGTGGATGACCTAACCATTCTCTTCTCAGTACTCCCTTCTTCAAGCCCTTCTAGTTCTATAAAACCAAGCTCCATTGCTCAGACCAGAGGATTTATTCCTTTATGGATTTAGGTGTTTCACATGTCTTGGAGAGGAATAAAGCCAATTAAGCTTTGCATGGTGCATTCCTGCAGCTAGCACTGGCGAGCTTAAAACAGGAACTTGGTGACCAGGTGGACAGTGTGGGTTACATAGAAGACTCTGCCTCAGAATATTCCTGGGTCTGGCATGAACGCCCATCTTTGGTAGCCAAGACTGACCCACAAAACTTTCAATCTGTCTGCAGAGCTTCCATCTTGCAGAAGACTCTTCAACATGTCCCATCCCCCAGATCATGTAGCCAACCTTCCAACCAGGAGGCTGGAGGTGCACTCTTCTTTACCCCTTCCCAGTCACTCAGTTCCTCTGAGTAAAGATGCCTTAAATCTCCACTCTTTCTTACCATCCCCAAGGCTGCCCCGATTGAAACTGCCTTCATTTCTCAGATGCACACTGCTGCACTATCTCAAAACTAGCCTCTTCGAGTATTGTCCAGAACCACACAGGAGGAAGGAAATGAAAATCTACCCTTGTCAGTCTACAACTTCAAATCTTTACATAGTCTACCCAAAGGTGGGGGAGATCCCATGACCTATCCACTACTTTCCTGTCTAGGTTAACCCCTTATAGATCCTCAATACAGCATACTCAAGCCCAGTATACCACTGCACAGACCCTTGAAATAGATACATATCCTGTTCTTCCATCTTCCTGTCCTTTACAAGGAAAGTGTGTGTGTATCCTATAGGCATATATATCCTATATGCATATATGTCCTGCATATAAATCCTGTATGCATATAGATATAGATATTGTAACATCTTTGCCCTTATTTTATAACTATCCTGAGTACCAGCTCCTTCATCTGCTTTCACCCCCAACTCACACAGTTTAGATGCACCTCCTTTGTAGATGTAGGACACTGTGTGAGAGACCGGGGCGATGACTCATTCATAAAGTATTTGTTGCTTAAGCAGGAGAAGCTGAGTCCAATCTCCAGAACTCACATAAAACGTCAGGTGTAGTAGCACCCGCCAGTGCTGGGGAGGCAGGGACAACAGGATCCCTGGGACACACTGGTGAGCCACCCTGGCCAAATTGGGTGCTCTCTGGGTCCCAGGGAGAAATTCTATCTCAAAAAATTAAGGTGGAGGGCAATTGAAGAAAAGACCTAACGTCAACCTCTGGCAGCTTTGCCACACAGAAGACCCACTGGCAAGCATGTCCTCCTGCTGCTCCCTCTAGAGCTTTGCCAACCGCTCTAACAGTTTATAATCCCATGTTAAGACCTCCACAGACGACACATAAGGCGCAATCACCCTTTCAGTGAGCAAGTGAGGCAAGTCCTCTTCATTAGCACACTCCTCTGGAATCTTGAGCATGACGAAGAAGGTTTTGTTTGACGATAACTCAGGTATTTCATTCTCATCTTCATCGATGTAAGTTACTAAAGAGATTCAGGAGATAAAACGAAGGTGAGAACATGCACAAAATAATAAATTGAATAAAGAAAGATGTGGTGGTGTACACCTGTAATCCCAGCACACAGAGGCAGGGGAACCCCTTCAAGTTCCCAGCCAGCTTGATCTACAAAGCCAGCTCCCATGACTTCATGGTGAGACTGGATCCCAAAATATACAAAGCCAACAAAGACATAACTTCTAAAACTAAACATAACGAACCGTACTGACAGACGCTGAAGCCTAGACACAGTAAGCAGAAGCAGGAATTCTTTCTTTGAGCAGCAAAACAGAATAAAAGAGAGTCGCTTGTGTTCATTGTGATAAATGTTTTGTTAGTTTTAGGGCAAAGGGATCTTTGACACCACTGAATATAGACCGGGGAAGGACCAGGAGGAAAGAACCGGAAAAACATGAAGTTGTTTGCAATTCTGAACCTGAAGGTTAACAGGGTACTCAGGTGTCAGGACAAGGGCTAGAAGACAAACTAGGACCCATACAGGGAGTGATGGCAAGCAGCTTCAGGGAACCACCTTCCATTTCAGTGCTGTCAAAGACCGTGAAGAGACAGTGATGTCACGGACAAGCATGGAGGTAAGACTAGAAAATGGGGATATGAGTCTCCATGCATTCTAAGAGCCGGGGCTTGGGCATGAAGTCATCACTCCAACCACAGAAGGGGGATGTTGACATACTCTATTTGCAGAAGGGAAGCCAAACTTCACTTGGAGCCCCAGGGCCTGCAGAGCCACTCATAGGACAATGAGCTCTGTGTGGCTTGTGTTCTAATGACTGGTGCTAATTGATTTTTAAACAGTTAAAGCTGGAGGAATGAAGGAATGCCACCCAAGGAGCCAGGAGCCAGAAGCTGGCACTGGTGTGGTTATTGCAGCTCTCCTGGCTCCAGTCCAGCCTCACAGACTTGCTCCACACAGGGGGATACCTCATCTGGCCTGTGAAAGGCGTGGGCAGCTGAGGAGGTAGGTGCTCTCAGGCGTCCCCCTGAAATCCTGTACAGCATACGTAACCGACTCTGCCTCTTTTACTGGCCTTTGAAAGACCATGCTGGGATGGATTCAGTGTTTGTGGCAGAAATGCGGATAAAATACAGGGTTGTTCTGTCTCAAAAAATCCAAAAGGAAAGCAATTGAAAATGACACCCAATGTCAAATGGTGGCTTCCAAGTGGGCATGCACACACAAATGACAAATGAACATGTTCAACAGTCTTCCCCAGCTGTTAACCCTGTGAACTACAATAAAGACCAGTGTAACAAAATATGCCCATGGATGCAAGAGAAGCAAGGATGTTATGGGAGTAGCCAACTGCTCTCTGATTCAATGTAAGTCCAGTCCACTAGAGAAAGCTTATGCCTGGTATTCTAAAATCTGTCCAGGAGCCCATGACTGGGGAACTCACAGGCCACAGGAGTAAACATACTACTATTACTCCGCTAAATGGCCAGAGTCACCGCAAACTGCCTCTAAATTCCTATCTCTGCATTCATAGATTAGTGATGCTCCCAGACCTCATCAGAGAAGTTTTTAGTGCATTGGACAGTGGTGAACACAGAAATTCAGACCTGATCACAGTGCAGAGAATGTGTCTCAGTGTTCAGCCACGACTGGAGCATCTACAACTATCTCTCAACCCACCACCGAAGCTCAGGGACGATTGTGGAAGAAGGACCAAAAAGATTGGAAGAACATGGAATCAGACAAGAATGAAGCGGTGTCTCCTAGACATGACAGGACGGCTGCAGCCATGAAGTCATGGCAGTTGTGGTAGTCTGCGTGAGGCCCACACACAACCAAGCTGGTCAGCATCAATGTGGAGGAAGTGGGGCTCAGAGCCTCCTCCCTCTAGGAGCTACTGGCAGTTAAAAGCTTCCAGGGAAGGGAGAGACAGAATTTTAAATTTCTTTTTAACTTTTTACTGATTTTTTTTGTGCATTTCACACCATGCATCCCAATCCCATCCATCTCCCTGTCCCCTAGTATCTATCCTCTACCCTTGTAACCTCCCCCCAAAAGATAAAATGAAATATAAAAGAAAAAAATCTCATCTTGGAAGCTGTAGTGTGTCTCTGTGAGTCACACAGTATACCCTTTAGATCATATATCTACTTGTGAGTCTTCATTGCAATGAGTCATTGGTCTGGCTTGAGGCCTCTGGTTTCTGCTACACTGTCAATACTGGGCCCTCAGTGGGACTCCTCTTGGATATCCTGTTTTTGCCCTGTATCATGGAGATCCTGCAGCTTTGCATCTGCAGGACCAGCCCTTTCATGTGCTCCAGCAGCTTGTAGATGGGGTGATGTTGGGGGGTTGGGGGGGGGACAACTCATAACCCTGGTTCTGGGCCTAGGTGGTAGCTGGCTTTATCAACCTGCCAGCTCTCCCTTATTCTCACCACCAGGATAAGCTTTCCAGCACTGCCTGGCCAGCTCTCCCAATGTTGCAAGCAACAAGGGATGGCCACTTCTCATGCTCAGGCCCTCAGGGCCAGCTCACCTGTACCCACACCACCAGGGCCAGTTCTGCTATGCTGCCAAGGTGAGGTGCAGGGCCCACTGTCCTGAGTGCTGAAACTTGCGAGGGACAGGACCAGCCCTCTCAATAGGAGAAAGAGTATTTTAAGGTGTAGCCCAAAGTAAGTCAAGCATGCTTCAGGAGGTGGTCCCAATCCTACGAGTATATGATCAGCACAAATTAGACGTGATAGATCATTTAGAAAAACAAATAAACAACAAAAAAGGACATGGAGTTGGGAAGGGTAGGGAGACAGCGGTGGATCTAGGAAGATTTAGAAGGAAGAGGGATGGTGAATAAGATAAAAAAATATATTTTATGAAATTGATAGAAATATTAAAATTGAAAAAAACTACCACTAACACCTGACAGAAACTTCTGTACACTGACCCACCCAAAAAGGGAATGTTCTTTCTGACTTCAGACATTAGTAATCATAGATTAGCTTTACTTATTTTGAACTTTAAACAAACAGAACCATACTAGAAAAGAAAACAAAGAAGCTCAGCATGATGGCCTGTACTTCTAATTTCAGTTCCAGGAGGGGACAGGCAGAGCTGCAGGGCTCATTGGCCACCCAGCCTAGCATACTTATTCAGTCTGAGACCAAGGTGAAAGACCGGCTGAAAAATAAAATGGAGGGCCCTGAGGAATAACAGTCAAAGCTATCCTCTGGTTTCCATACACACACACACACACACACACACACACACACACACACACGCACACGCACACACGCACGTGTGCACATGAAGAATTCTGATACTTGTCAGTCAACAGTGGAACACATCTCTAGTCCCAGCACTCAGGAGGCAGAGGCAGGGAGATCTCTGTGGTTCAAGGCCAGTCTGGTCTACATAGTGAGTTCCAGGACAGCCAAAGATACATAGAGAAACCTTATCTGGAAAAACTAAAAGCTAAAAAATAAAATAAAATAAAAAGAATTCTGACACTTATTCCCAAGGAGACAGTACTGTGAGGAACTAAGGGCAAGAATGGTCCATAATTCTTAATTCATAATTATTAGCAAAGCTGTCCTGAGATTACCAGCCTTGGAAAGGCCTGCTCAGGGTGACTTCTGGCTAGCATCTGGAGCTTGGATTTGAAAAAGATTCACATCAACCCCCGACTCATAAGGGTGACCATTGTGTCTCATCCACTTGTATAAACAATATGCTCAAAATCTCCTTTTCCTTTGAGAGTCTGTAAATGTGGTATACTCAAGACAAAGGCTATGTAATCAACACCCAATGAAAGCCTTGGCACTAAGTATCTAGTGGGCATGCAGAATGGATTTTGCACAGGTCTAGTCACAACTTACTGCTGTAAAACTTGAGTCCCAAGTACCCCGACTGGGAAAGAACTCTAAAACCTGATCCTACACCCCTGTAGATTCTGTTATAATAAATGCCTTTATTTACTGGGTAGTCATAATTTTAAAAATGCCATGAATAATCATTTTGGGGAATCTCGCACACGGAAGCTGAGACTTGAATTCTTACTTGTTGTAAATCACTGAATATTTTTTTTGTCTGACTCCAAAATGTATGCCATCTTATCCCCCCTGCAAAATGAAAACTACAAAAAAAATTGTAAATCAACCTAAAAACCCAAAGTACTTTTCATATCATCTGTTAAGGTTTAGAACTGAAAAACCCTCCCAACGGCTCCTGATCGTGTGATGCTGCAATGGATGTCTAGGAGCTCTCTGCCCACCACACAGTCATCTCTCAGTGACTCAGAAAAGAACAGGGATGCTGCAAGATGTGTTAGAAATTCCAGTAACTAAATGCTATACTCAAGATGCCATGAAGACACAGCGAGTTCAAAATGAACTCTCTAGTACTGTCTCTGATGACATTCACTTAGCTTGTAGCATAGAAAGAATTCAATCTCGACAGAGATTGGCTTTTTATTGTGTTCATTAAAATAAAAGTAATAATAGACTTGGCCAGTCAGAATAGCTTTTATACAACTAATGACAGTTGATCCAAGCAACGCTTTCTACGGAGATGAAATGGAATGACTTTCCCAGTATGTAGGAGGACCATGACGTAGATTTTCAGCTGGACTGTAAGACTTGAAGCTGGAGAGGGAGCTACTAGATGCTAGGTGATATCAGGAAGTTAATGGAGCGCTGTCAGGAGCCTCTCTAGAAGAAGCTAGAGGATGTGCTTGTTCCAGAACTCACACTTCAGATCAGTTGGGACCAGAAGAGCCTGGAGACATCAAGGCTGCTGTGTACAATACTGGGAAACTTCTTTTGCCTGACAGTGAAGGAAAGAAGGAAGGAGGGAGGGAAAGAGGGATAGAGGACAGAGCTGGTTGATAGTTGGACAGACTTGGGTTTTCATGCCAGACTAGCTACTTGTTAGTCATGTGATCTCGAGGAGCTCACCTAAATCAACAGAAATATTAACACCGGTGTAGCAAGTGAAGGTGCAGATGAAGAGGAA